TCAGCAGGCCCAGCTCCTCAGCAGGAAGCTGGCGAGAGCTTCTGCAAAACAAGTGACGTAGGAGCAGCCACAGAGCACAGCTAAAGCCTCCCACGAGGGCAGGGGGAGCGGGGCTGGGGAGCAGAGCTGCTTCCAAAGATGGACATCCCTCCGTGACCGGGGCGCTGGAGCCCCGGGAGCTCCAGGGGTGCTGGTGGGAGGGGGGGAACAGGCTGGGTTTCCAGTTTTTATGGAGATTGGCATGGGAACAAAGGGCTCCTGGTGGGAAGCATGTTCAGGGTGCCAGGATGCCTGGAAGAGGAAATGCATCCAGCCTGGAAGGGAGGAAGGAAGGGAAGGGAGGCACAGAGGGCAGCTCTGTGCGGGGCATCCCAATCCAGGGCACCTTTCCTCAGGAATAATGGGGATTGTCGGGGTGGGATGGGAGGGGAAAACAGGTCATGTTCCATGTCCCAGCCAGGGATGGGACAAGGGGGTGTTCACTACCCTGCGGGTAAAATAAAGGGTCAGCAAACTAAAGGGGGGCCCCTTCCCACCCCCATCCCCGGGTCTGCCCCGTGAGGAGGAATTATGGCTGCTACAAGAAATGAACGCTTTTACTTCCACTTCCCTCTCTCCCCCCAAGCCCTGGCAGCCTCTCAGGGCTCTCTCAGCCCCAGGCCAGCCCCAGGAGAGTCCCCACAGTGACAGCCAGGAATACAGGATTAAACCCAGGGCAGTGCCCCCAGTGCAGCTTCCCCACTCCCCCGTCAGCCGAACTGGGTTCACACGCTGTTCCCGGTGTTCCCTCCCTGCAGCACAGCCCTGGGCCAGCAGTAATTGGGAGTTTCTTTGATGAATTTCCCTTTTATTGCTTTCAAGTTCACAGCAGTTCTCAGCCTAAACGGGTTTTCTCCCATGTCTGCAATATTCAGAATTATTGGCTGAATCTGCTCTGACACATCAAATCACACACTGGTTTAGGGTGGAAGGGACCTGAAAGATCATCAGCTTGTTCCAACCCCCTATCCCAGGACAGGAACCTCCTGTATCCGGGGGCTCATGGAAGGAAAGGCTCATTCAGAGGGGCTGCTGTACCTTCCCCAGCTCCATTCCCATCTCTGGATATGCTCCAGCACCTCAATGTCTTTCCTGGAGCGAGGGGCCCAGAGCTGGACACAGGATTCAAAGTGTGGAATTTCGTGGCCCCATAAACTCCACACCCTTAAACTCCACATAATCTGCCAACCCTCTCCCTGGATCTTGAGACACACTCAAATATTCTCAATTTCTGAGTTCATTCCTGAGGCTCCTTCATTTCCATTAAGGTTTTTAGGCTTTCCCCCTTCTGCTGCACTTAACCTGAGGGAATGGGATATACTGGCAAAGGATCTTGTTCCCTTGCTGCCCCAGAAACTCTGAATGGGAAAAAGGGTGGAGGTGCTCGGGGAGATAAACCCCATCCAGCAAGATTGGGAAACAAAACTGTGCTTGCAAAACAAGGCCAGTGGCTGCTGAAGTGTGGGGACAGAGATAACGTCTCTGCTTAGAATCGAGGCCACGTTTCACCCTGTTCAGGAAAGCTGAACTGGGGGTCAGCCTGACTTCTGGGCTATTTTAAGCCCTGTGGGTTGAAGGGCACCTGGAGCTGCTGCTTCAGGACCGAATGTTTAATTTAAAGGCTATTTGGTTGCTCGGGTTTCCAGGGCCCAAAATGCTATTGAATTATTTTAAAAACCTTTATTGTGGTGAAGCAAGGGCATTTGTGGGTGTAAGTGAGAGGAGCTCGTGCCCTGGGGAGGGGGTGTGAGGGTCCACATCCATTTTTAGACCCCTAAATTTTGTTTTCCTGGTTCCCTGGCACGGTGGCCATTGGAGGCACAGGATCAGCTGCTCCCCCTCCCTGCCTGGGTTGTCTCAGCAACAGTTGCCTCAGTACTCCTGTTGTGTCCTGTAAATGTTTAATGGGAAGCTTATCTCTCTTACCTCCCCAGATGGCTCAGGTTATTGAGCTTGTGAACACGGATTAATTGGAAATGGGCAGATGTTGGCTAACCAGAAAAAGAGCTTAGTAAGTAATTAGATGAGCTGGGATGGTGGTGTGGGGGCAGAGCATCCTCTGAAGGGTTCAGAGGGAAAAGGACGGGGCTGAAAGGAAGTTCCTGTTCCCTGCTCTGAGATCCTGGCAAGGACCAGAGCTCCTGAGCACTGGATGAGATGCAGGACAGTGTCCCAGCATCCGTGTCCAGCCCAGTGGCAGCCACAGTTCAGTGAAGGATCAGCCCCCAGCACTCCCAGCTTGTCTCAGCTCCCAATCCAGGGCATCTGGTTCTTTCCTGACAGATAATGGGGATTGTCGGGGTGGGATGGATGGGGAAAACAGGTCATGTTCCATGGCTGAACCTGCCCCTTGGAACCCTGACTGCCAGGAGCTGGAGGTCTGAGTGCTCAGGGCTGACATTTTCCTAAGTAATAGATTATATTAGTTCAGGCTGTAATATGCGTTACCAATCTTAAGTGGATTTTTGAAGATTAAATGCTTTAATAAATCCAATTTTTGAAAGATCAGACTATGAAAAAAATTTCATGGAACGTGAGGTCCACAAAAATAACGAACTATCCAGAGCAGCTGAAAGGAAGCTCCAGTTATCCATGTGATATTTCCTGAGCTACAGTAACACCCCTGTGCAGTCCATCCATGCACATCCAACCTTTCTGCAGCCCCTTGTGCCCACCTGCACCCACCTGTGCTGGGGCACAGATGTTCACCTGCAGGTGAGGGATTTGTGGATCTGTCTCAGGTGAACACAGGAGCCTTTCCAAGGCCTGTTCTCACCTGCCAACAGACCAGGCAATAATGTAGGGACTAACACTTGGATACAGGACTAGGTGGGAGGATCTGCAGTCCATTCCCAGGCAGACAGAGCACCCTGATCCCTGGAGTTCACCACCACAGGGAGCTGGGGGATGCGTTGCCTCCACCCCGAGCACCAGGGAACGTCAGGGAGATGCCTGCAGTGCAGAGTCAAGGTCTATTTGGGGAACAGGATGGTCAGAAATCGAGTTTGAGTGTTTCACAACATCACAGAAGCTTGAGATTCGTTTACAGAGCCTAATTATAGCAGTTTAGTGCCAAGAGAGAAAGAGGAAAGATGAAAGATGTGCTGCGAGGGAAGAATATACAATGGGCAATTGCAGCACTGCATCAAATCCTCATGAAAAAAACTCTTCTAAATCCCTATAAAATATCCCCAGGGACAAAAGGTGAGCTAACTACACTCTAGAAGTAGAGGGGTGGGAAATGGCTGCAGCATTTCGTAATCAGAGTGAGTCAGATGGTATTTCTGGGAATGTGAATGCAGGAGGCAGGAATCTCCCCGGGGAGCAGGGAATGGTTGGTATCTGAAAATCAGCACTTCTTTAGTTCCACTCAATGAGCTGTGGAGAGAAGGGAAACCAAATGCCAGAGGAAGACCTGGTGTGAAGCAGAGCAGACCCAGCTGTTGGAACAAGGAGCTGGGACTGGGGAAAACAGCTTAAAAATAGAGACCTTTCAACAAAGGACCTGGTGTCTTGAGAATCAGAGAGAGACGAGTCCCTCCTGGCTGTCCTGAATGGTGTCTGCATGGAGCCTGCTGGCCAAGACCTGTTGTCTCCAGGAGGAGGGAATTTGAGGAGCTTTAAGGCTTTCTTGCCATGAATCTGAACGAAACCAGATGCCAGAGATCTGCGGGATAGAACGTGTTGGTGGTGGAGTCCCCACCCCTGGAGGTGTCCAGGGAACGACTGGACGTGGCCCTCAGTGCTCTGGGCTGGGTGACAAGGTGGGCATCAGGCACAGGGTGGACTCCATGGCCTCTGAGGTCTTTTCCAGCCTAAATGATTCCATGGCTCTGTGTTACACGGTGCTGGATCTTCAGCCAGGGCTTCCCACAGGATGGATCCCATGGCAGCTGCAACCTGCGCCCTGCAGCCACACCAAACGATCTGTTTTGGAGCAACAGAGAGAAATTTGGCCCAGGCCAGCTCCCAGACCCCTCTGAAAGCCCTCCACGAGGCAGCTGAGCAGATGCCAGCCCTGCTGGTGTTCCAGCCACCTCCCTGCACAGCTCCTGTTTACACCATCAGCTCCATCAGCTCCGTGTGCTGATGGACACGTGTGGGGGTTCCATGGCTGGGAGGTGGGAGAGAGCCTTTTCCTGACTCCATTTACAGGCACTGGGTTGCAGTGGCAGCAGCTCCAGCGAGTGCACACAGACCAGGCTGGATATGGGCCAGCTCTGCACATATTTGGCCACTGACACTGTGGTTGTATTTCTCTCATTCTGTCACACTCCTGGAGAGGGGACAGTTTATCTAAGAAGGTCAGTAGTCCCCAAGTACAGCTCAGTTATTAAAAGCTGTTAAGCCATTGAGAGAATGGCAATATCACCACAGGAGGCCCAGACAGGCCTCTTTAACCAGGCTCCATGATTAAATGATGCTCCATGCATCCCTAATCAAGTTTTGGCTTGCATGGCCTATTCCTTCCCCTGCATGTCCCGCTCAGCTCCAATTAGTTTCTATCTTTAAACTGACCCCTCAAGTCCATTTTCCTGCAGTAGATGTTTATTGTGCTGGTAAGGAAAGGCAGAACAGACAGAAACTGAGCTTAAATTTTTGGTTAGATAGATAAGCAGGTGACTTAAGCACTTGAGATGGCCAAAAAGAATGGATTTATCAAAGTGCTCCGTTTCTACATGAAAGTGCTAAAAAATTCCTCTTAATCTCAGATCTCTATTTGAGATTAAACAAAGAGGAACAAGAACTGAGGTTTCTGCCCCGCAATCACGTTTCCTCTGGAAATGTTAGCAGAAGACTCCTAGAAAATCGCTCCATCCACAGGGCTGGGAAGAGTGGGCAACATTGACACCTACTGTTGGCGCTTTTAATTGCTGCTGTTCCCAGGCACAGCCCACAGGATTGTTGGGAAGCCGAGAGCGTGGAAATAGCCAGGAAGAGACGAGTTAAACCAGGGAGAATTGTTGCTTTTGCAGAAAGCTTCATTTAATCATTTTTATTGTGTGCAATTAGGTCAGAGGGGTCTGTTGGCTGGAACAGGACTGGAATCTTCATGGCCAGTCCCCTGGATTGCTGCTTCCATGTTTAGGAGCTACAGGGACTTGAGGACTGGACTGTTCATGGATCTTGCAGCCTGAAAAGAAAGCAGGAAGCAGTTTGCCTTTGGGAAGGGATTCTGTTTGGAAGGGACTCTCCTCCCTGCCCTCTCTCCACGGCCCCAGGGTGTTCCGAGCACCCCCTGCCCTTTGGAGCTGCTGGAGGGACACCAAGGCCGTGTTCCTGCCGGGACTCACCGCTGGTCACAGACCGAGGCCCTTCTTCAGGGTGGAGATCAGGGGGTATTTGCCTTCATTGCAGAAAGTGCCAGTGAAGTCATCCAGGTCGATGGTCCAAACCATGGCCCCTCCAAAGTTGTTCTGCTTCAGCCAGTCAACCTGTTTGGGGCCAAGGAAAAATCCCGATCAGCCCCGGGAGCTGCTCCTGTAGGAGCCTCCTGCCTCCTTCCCAGCACAGCCCCACGTCCCAGCAGACCTTTGCACTGAAGCTCTTCGTGTTGTCGTAGCCAATCCACTCGTTGCCCTTGTAGGCATAGGGCACGTCCTCAGGGGCATCCCAAGCCTGGGTGGCTCCGGTGTTCAGGAACGAGCAGATCTAGGAAAGAAAGGCCGAGCGGGACAAGTCAGCGAGTGACCTGCCAAAAAGGGCCTGTGCAATGTTGCCTGGGGTCAGAACTCTTGGCTGGGAAGGCAGAGGATGGTTTGTGCTGCTCTGGGTGTCTGGAGGCGAGGGCCACACGTACCTCATAGTAAGCCAGAAGCCCGGCCTCCCTGGTGTAAGGTCCTGCTGGCCCAGGGCCTGAGGTTGGGGCCCCAATCCCAGTGTTGGAGGGGTTTTGCAGGGTGAAGGTCTTTCCGTAGGTCGGGAAGCCAACCAGGAGCTTCTGAGCTGGGGCACCATTGTTCTTCCGTGTTCTTCTCCCCCTTATGAAGAGAATATTCTTCTCAGAGAAGCATTATTTCTTGTCAGCCCTCTGATCTAATTGCACACAATAAGAAGGAACCATTCTGAAAGGAACAACTTGAATATCAGGGTCTCCATTCCGTGACCCATCAGAAAAGAGCCCAGGCAGCTGAAGGACAGACAGACTTATTCCAGCACAGCCACAGAATCAGCAGAATGACAATTTTAGTTGGTGTGTGGAGGGAAACTACAGTAGAAACAACCCAGAGTGGTGGATCTCTGCAATCCAACACTTCAGCTGCTGGAACAGTGTGGAAGGTTCCTGTCTGCAGACTCAACCCTTTTTTAACTTGAATCCTTTTACCAGGAACCAGTTCTTCTGCCCTTAATTACCTATTGCCATTCCCAAGGAGCCCATGGAAAAACACCTTCCTTTTGACAGAAAGAAGGCAGGGAAAGTCCTGAAGGAAAACTCCAGGACTTGACCAACTGCCATTTGTTACCACCACATGCAAATTAGTGTCCTTGAGCTTGCCTTTTCACACCAAAACAGACCTGAAAAGGCTCCAGAGGGCGCTGAGGGTGGGATTTTCTGAATCTATTCCAATTTAATTTATACTATGTTACTTTATCAACCAAGAAACACACTGGCAAAATACCCCTTGGAGGTGGTTGTCTCATTATCGGGCGCATGACACCCAGTGCCTGCACGAAACCCAGAGGGTCAGGCCAACACAATTTAATCTGCAGGTCGTCCAACATGTGACGTGGGCAACTCTGAGACTGTTTTCCAGGCTCCCATTCAGCCAAGCCAGGGTGACCTACTGGGAAGTCACCTTCATGTCACCTGAACAGGAATAAAGGAACATCTCAGAGCAGGGCCACTGGCCATGTGCCTGCTGTGCCTTTGCCATTTGCACTAGTCCTGAGGGTGCAAAAGGGGAGAAACCACCTGTCTCCTCACACAGGGTAAGAGCTTCTGAGTCTCTGCCTTGGGAGAAGATGAAAGGGTATTTTGAGGCATTTGGGTAATTTCACTCGATGGGACTTCACAGAAACCTAAGGAAAAACCCAAACCCTCGGCAACAGAGAGGTCTCTCATTTTGGGAAACATCTGAGCAAAAAGAAGGGGGGATAAATCTGAAAGCAAATGCAACCTGCTCTGTCTCTGAGCTCCCTCCCAGAGAGCCTGAGCTCCAAGAAATAAGGAAACCCCTTCTGTGTCCCTGAAGTGACGCCACCTCAACTGGTGTGGGCAAGACACGACTCAGACCCAAAAGCCCCTCTATCCCAACAGAAACTGTACCTACAGGGAGTGAGCCCCGTTCCCATGTCCTCCAAAATGCCCAGTGCTGGGGACTGAAGTCCTGCTCACTTTTGCCTTTGCTTGGTCCCACCAAGGAGACCAAACCCTTGTAAAGCACAAACCTTTTGTTGGCAATGCCACCGGCCGTGGGAGGACTCAAGGACAGCACAAGGTCACTGCCCAGTCCCCAGTGGGGACACAAACGTGTGGCTGGGAACAAACTTCCAAACAATGACAGAAATCTAATCTGGCTCTTCAGCTGCTCTTGCTACACCAGCACATGGCACAACCCCCCACCAGTGATGTCTCCAGCTGGAGTGTTCAGGCCCATTGTCCAGGAACCAGTTGAGGTGATGCTGATCTTTGCCAAGTCTCGCAATGTTTGCCCATCTGTGTTGATCCAAGATTGGCAGCAGAGGGGAGAAGGGTATAAAAGCAGAGACTTTGTGAGCACATCAGTTCTGGTCCAAGATGGCCAAGCTCACTCTGCTCACCGGTAAGTGCCACCTCAACCCGGGGCTCTCTGCCTTTCTGACAAGTGCTGGGGCTCTGTCACTGTCACACTTGGGCCTGCACAGGGGCTTGGGGGTATAAAACTGCTGCTCCCTCTTTTCATGAGAGATTTCGCAACCTCCTTTAAGGAGGGAGGGTTCTGTTCTTTAGTGCTGCTGCTGGGGATCTGTTCTGCTTTGAACATGAATAGAGTTCATTGCAACTGGAAACTGAGATGTGCTTTGGAACAAAAATCTAACACTCAAACTACTGCCTGGTCACTTGTTTGCTCTCTTTTCTGTGCTTTTACCTGAAATCATTTGACAAATGTTACCCAGACTGAGGTGCCTCAGCCTGGGAATGCACAGAGTGTGGTGTGTTTGTTACAGAACACGGGGGTGGCAGGGCAAGGTTATTCTGGGTTCAGCCCAGTCTTGCACAAGAACTTTGCATTTCTGAGTGCAAACACTGACAGGTTTGTTCTTCCCTTTGCCCTCCCAGGTCTGGCCCTGCTGCTCAACGCCCACCTCGGTAGGTGCTTCCTTCCCTAAAACACCTCCTGCCAACCCTTCCCAGCCCCAGCCCTCCCAGATGGGGCAAACAGGGGGCACAGACAACACCAAGAGCCTCCCACCAACCTTGCTGTTCTGCAGCCAGCCCTCCTGCCTCCCTCCTGCGTGCCGGGGCAGCACAGCACAGGGGCTCAGCCTGGGGGAGAGACCCCGAGTCCTGAGTTTTAGGGCACCAGAGGCCCCGAGACCGACCCGTCCCCCGAGAGAAAGGAGGAAGGAAACAAATCCATTGGTGTCCTGGAGAGCTGGGCAGTGTGTGAGGGAGGAGCAACCCCACTGCCCTTTGCCTGAACTCCTGACCCCACAAGGAAACTCTGCCCAGTCCTTCCCAGCAGATCTGCTCCTGATGCTCTGCCTGAAGCCACTGGTGCCTGAGGAGCAGCAGGCAGCCCCCCCAGCTCCTGTGTCTCCCCACAGGCACTGCCTACGTGCTGACATGTTACTTCACCAACTGGGCCCAGTACAGGCCTGGCCTGGGCAAATACACACCCGAAAATGTCGACCCCTGCCTGTGCAACCACCTGATCTACGCCTTCGCCGGGATGAACAACAACGAGATCACCACTTATGAATGGAACGATGAGACCCTCTACAAATCCTTCAATGGCCTGAAGAACCAGTATGTGCTGGGAGTAGAGGGCAGGGCTTGTTCTCCCTCTCAGGTCCTGCCCTGTTGTTCACCCTCTGCTCTTTGCACAGCCCTGGGCAAGGGATGCTGAGAGAAGGCAGAGACGGGCAGGGCAGGGCAGGGCAGGGTGACAGCCCCGCTCCTCTCACCACAGTGAGAGTGGCTCAGGGTACTGTGGACTTACAGTAACTCTGGTATCTGTCCTTCCTTTGCAGGAACAAAGATCTGAAGACACTCCTGGCCATTGGAGGATGGAATTTTGGCACAGCCAAGTATGTTCAAACCATGTCCTGCCCATAAAAACACCCTGGAAAGGGAAGGAGAGGAGGAAGATGCTCCAAACAAAGCCCTAAGCTCTCCTGCTCTGCTTGCCCAGGTTCACTACAATGGTTTCCTCTGCTGAGAACCGCCAGACCTTCATCAAGTCTGTCATCAAATTCCTGCGCCAGTACCAGTTTGATGGGCTGGACCTGGACTGGGAATACCCCGGCTCCAGGGGCAGCCCAGCCCAGGACAAGGGGCTCTTCACCGTCCTGGTTAAGGTGAGTTTTGCTCTGCTCAGCACAGCTCTGGCCAGAGCCCTGGGCAGATGTAAAGTCTGAGCCCTGTTCCCTGGAATCCCTCAGGAATTGCTGGCAGCCTTTGAGCAGGAAGCCAAACAGACCAACCAGCCCCGTCTCCTGGTCACCGCGGCTGTGGCTGGAGGACTTTCCACCATCCAGGCCGGCTACGAGATTGCTGAGCTGGGCAAGTGAGTAGCAAAGCCTGGGATCACTTGTGGGACTGGATTGTCTCCCTGCAAGCGCTGCAGCCAAAGCTGCAAAGAGCCCCTGAGGGCCCCAGGTGTGCAGGAGGTGGGGCCGTGGCCGGGCTGGGACAGGGGGTGACCGGCCAGTGCTGGAGGAACCGTCAGCTCTGGTGCCTGAGTGGGTCAGGACAGAGCCAATGCTCTCCACAGGTACCTGGACTACATCCACGTGATGACCTATGACTTCCATGGCTCCTGGGAGAGAAACACTGGCGAGAACAGCCCCCTGTTCACAGGCCCAGCTGACACTGGGGACTACAAGTACTTCAACATCGTAAGTGTGTTTGTGAGACAGAACCCCGGGTCTCAGCTCCATGATTGCCCCAATGAGGAGATATTGAGGAATTCATCATCCTGCCTGCAAACCCAGGCAAAGACTTCAACAGGAGTGTTTTCTTACAGGAATATGCTATGAATTACTGGAAGGACAATGGTGCCCCAGCTGAGAAGCTCCTTGTTGGCTTCCCAACCTACGGAAAAAGCTTCACCCTGCAAAACCCATCTGACACCTCTGTTGGGGCTCCAGCATCAGGCCCTGGGCCAGCTGGACCTTACACCAGGGAGGCTGGGACACTGGCTTACTATGAGGTACGTGTGTCTAATCACATTCCTTGTTCAAATCATTTGAAGGAATGTATAAGGAAGGCACCCATGGAGCTTTCTGAATGGCTGCCTCAGACACAAAACTGTCCATAGAATTGCTATGAAAAAGTTACTTATTTTCAGGGACCAGACAAATGACACAAAACTAGAGAATAAAGTCCAGACAATGGCAGAGCCTGGACTTTTCCCTTTTTGAAATTAACATTCCACCTCTTGGTGCTTCTCCCTAGATCTGCTCCCTCCTGAGCTCTGGAGCCACCCAGGCTTGGGATGAACCCCAGGACGTGCCCTATGCCTACAAGGAGAGCGAATGGGTTGGCTACGACAACACGAAGAGCTTCAGCATCAAGGTCTGGTGGGACGTGGGGCTGTGCTGGGAAGGAGGCAGGAGGCTCCTGCAGGAGCAGCTCCCGGGGCTGATCGGGATTTCTTCCTGGCCCCAAACAGGTTGACTGGCTGAAGAAGAACAACTTTGGAGGGGCCATGGTTTGGGCCCTCGACATGGATGATTTCACTGGCACTTTCTGCAATGAGGGCAAATACCCCCTGATCTCCACCCTGAAGAAGGGCCTCGGTCTGCAGAACGGCGGTGAGTGCTTTGAGTGCCTGAGCAGCTCCCTGACGGGAACTCGTGAGCTCCCATGAAGGGAGGGGAGGGATGAGACTCTGTCAGCACAAAAATAAACCCTTTCCTGCTTTGGTTACAGACTGTGTGCCTCCTGCTGAGCCCCTGCCTCCAGTCACTGAGGCTCCCACTACCACCAGTGGAAGCGGGAGCGGCGGCTCTGGTGGGAGCGGCTTCTGCGCCGGCAAAGCCAACGGCATCTACGCAGACCCAGAGAACAACAGGAACTTCTACAACTGCTTGAACGGCCAAACCTTCGTCCAGAGCTGCCAACAGGGTCTCGTCTTCGACCCCGTCTGCTCCTGCTGCAACTGGCCATGAAGCTCCAGCCAGCAGGCCCCTCTGATCCAACTGTACACAATAATGATTCAATAAAGCTTTCTGCAAAAGCGACAATCCTCCCTGTTTTAACTCGTCTCGTTCTTGATATTTTGATGTTTCGTGATTCTCCTGTGGTACTCGAACCTGTGCTCAGGGAAGGGCTTGAATCCACAAGCTGGATTTAATTCCCATATGGCATTTTCCAGGGCTTTCTTGCTGCCCTACCCCAGGGGCCACGGGGGAGCAGAGAGGAGCCAACGGGGCAGAAGGGTCGTGACATCACAACCCTGGGCTGCTTCCCCCGAGCCAGCACAGCACATTCCACAGGGCCCTTACTCACCCTGGGCTCTCCCCTGCACCCTCCACGTGCTGCCGTGGCCTCCAGCAGCCCCTGTTCTGCATCCATAGCGACTGGAGCACACGGGCAGCTTGGCAGGGCAGGATGTCAGCGGGGCAGGAGCCAAGGGGTGAGAGCTGTGCAAGGTGGGGGCACCTGGGGGGGGACTCTGGGCTCGAGGCTTTTCTTCTCTCACAGCTCCCCCGACTGGGCTGCTCATCACTCCCTCCCTGGGGAAAAAACCAGGCCTTTGTGGCAGGAGGGGACAGACATCCAAAGGGCAGATCCCCCACAGATATCCAGGGTCAGGGGAAGCTCCCATGTGGGAGGTGAGAGGGTGGTTGGCCTCAGGCAGAGAGCAGCAGATGCTTCAGGTGCAGCACGTGGTCACCTCTATTTTATCTTTTTTGTTTGTTTGTTTATCACACTGGTGGCACTTCCCTCTCCGGGTCCCTCAGATGTGCAGAAGCATGTCTCATTTGGGACAACTCAGGAAAGGAAGATGTTCCCCTACTACTACGCCCCTGACAGGCTGGGGATCGAGGTGGCAGCCGTCGGGGGAAACCCTCTGGTTGGGCCAGGCTGTTACCTGGGCCAGGAGGTGAGTTGTTAAAGTGTTGTGGTCCTTTGCAGAAGACACAGGACAGGAGCAGTAGGGCCATGGCCAGCCCCACACCCGCCCTGCAAACCCACCACAGGATGTCTCCACATAAACCTGGAAAAAAAATCCCCTCCCTTCCCAACAGACCAGTCCTTATATAGCTCCACAGCAGTGAGAAAACAGGGGAATTAACAGGAGTAGCATCAATAGGAGTAGCATCGATAGGAATAGCATCACTAGGAATAACATCAGTAGGAATAACATCAGGAGGAATAGCATCTGCTGCTTGTGTACTTCTGCCCTGCAAATGATTTCTTTGAAATGCCAGTAAGACACTTCTGCTTTTGGATTGCAGACAACCATCCTGCAACCCTCCCTGAGCACCAGACCCATGAGCAGCAAGGGTTACGTGATGGGAGCGAGGACAGGCCCACGCTTCATGCCGAGGAGCCGGGTGAGGAGCAGGGAATTCTGAGTTTTTAACACTCTCAGGGCAGCCAAAGTGTTGAAGAGCGGGTCTGTAACACCCAGCTGGCTGCTGCCCTGAGCATGTGGGAATGGTTTGCACAACCAAATGTTCCACACGAGCGTTTTCCCCCTTGCAGACGGTGACCCCCGGCCCAGCAGCGTACGAGCCCTTCCGGATGGAGAAGAGGAAGTGCCAGCCTGCCCATGCCCCATTTTCCTCCAGTACACCACGATTTCCATCCAGGCCTCCAGATAGAGAACTTTTCCCTGGGTAACATAACTAATTTTCTTACAATTTTCACAATAAGCAGGAGTACTGGCAGAGAGAAATGCTAAGACACGGATGGCAGATAGGAAACTGAGTTCTCAGTGAAGCTTTTTTATCTTCAAAAAGCTCCCCTGCTTTAGTGTTTAGCTTAGCACCGTGACTAGAACATAACAACATGCATTTCTCCCATGGATCTCCCCCACATTGCTCTGCTGAAAACAAAAACTCAGAACACAGCCTGAAGTTCTCAACACCATCTCACATCTTCCTTTCCTATGGCACCATCATTGCTATTAACGAATAGCTGTATTTTAGATGACCATGAACAGGCCACTGAGGTAAATTCTGTATTATAAATATCATACACCAGCTCCAGAATTGAGACACTTTGTGCCTGTTTTCTTCAGACCTGGAACTTACAACGTAGAGCAGCCATTGAACAAAAAAGTCACTTGGCCCATGAGGTTTGGATCTCCAGACTGGTCTTCAGTGCCCAAGCCACCAAAGAAGATGGTAAAAAGGGAGGTACAGGAGGTAAGGACAGGGATGAGGGGATATTATTCCTGGCTTAAGGCTTCTGAGAAAGGAAATTTCCTCGTTACTTTGCACCTGCACTAAGTTTTGTTGTCCTTTCCTTGCTTGCCTGGGGCACAAGATATGAAGTGATTTCCTGTGAGAAAACACCTGTTTGCAAAACCAGCCACAGTCCTTCAAAAAACCCTTCTATTCAGAAATTTCCTCCGGAAGTTTCCCCCCGCAGAGTGAAGCAAAGCAGAGCCTTGACTGCCCCTTTTAGCTCTGCTGGGAGGAAAAACTCACTCAGAACACAGGCTGAGGTTCTTGACACCGTCTCACACCTTCCTTTTCTGAAGTGTTGTCTCTGCTGTTAATGCATGGCTGTCTTTCAGATGACCATGGACAAAGAATCCAAAAAGCACCAGGAGCGAGTGGCCTACCTGAAGCTGTACTTTGGCTGAGGGGCTGTGCCCCCTCCTCTGGAGACACCCACCTGCACCACCAGGCTCAAAGAACCAATAAAACGTTTCAAATGTTTTAAAATCCAAATAAAATCGCCTCAAACAGAGGGATTTGTGGCCACTGGCTGTCTTGTCTGGGTGTCTCCGGGGCCCTGCTCCCCTCAGCCCTCGCTCAGGGGATGTGGTCTCTGGGTGCAGGTTTGGGCCGGGGTAGAGTTAAAACTTCTTCCCAGTGGCTGCAGTGGGGCTGTGTTTGGGTTTGTGCTGAACATGGGGTTGAGACCACACTGAGGTTTATTGGTCCTGGGTTTGTTATTGAGTGTGTTATTGCGGGGCCAGGTCACACCAGACACCTGCAAGATGCACTTTTGCATTCTGGCCTTACAAAGATATTCTCAAGAATATGAAGTTATTCTCAATATGAATCTAATCTCAAGCAAGGAGCAAGAAATAGGTTGCTAATTAAGAATCTGGCCACGAAAGTAAATGCAGTCTGAAGCAGAAAGGCCCTGGGGTTCATCTTCAGCTGTTCCTGCACTCGAACCCTGGGGACTTCTATAAATGTTTACAAACCCTCACACACACTGATCACAGCCTTGATGTGGTCCCAGGAGACAACTAAGAGCAGGCAACACTCACTCTGGGTGTAACTACAGCCCCGGAGCAGCCTTTCCAACTCCCTGGCTTTATTTACCTGTTTCTGGAGCAAATTTCACCTGCAGTCCAGTTTCAGTTGCAAACCCAAAATACATTCTTCCAATTTCCCACTTTTGGGCTTCGAGAGCTCTCACAGATGTACCACAACAGCTGCTCACAGGCTTTCTGAGGCACGTTGGTTCCCTCCCTCCCAACCACAAGACTCATCTGCCAAAACAGGGATGGAGCTGTCGATTCACAGCTGCCCCTTTTGGTGCAAGGTTTTGGATAAGGAGGGGTGTGACCCCCTGGAATTTTTACTGTCCTAAAATCTGGGGTTTATGGCTGTTTAAGGTCCTACCTTTGTATTTATGGCAGACGTTGTACTTCACCTCCACCTGTCTGGGTTTTCTGATCAGGAGAAAAAGGGGTGTGAGAGGATTAACAAAATCAGCAGCACCTGTGACTTTTCACCATGTTCCACCTGTGGCTGGAGAAACCACCTACTAAAGTTTTTGCCAGACTGCTGGGATTTCAAAGGGCCCTTTGTTGTCATTTCTGATGAAATTCTCAACCTTCTCAGCTATCGAATGTTCCTTAAGAGAAAGGAAGAGATACAGAGGGAAAGACAAGATCTACTCTCACACCCCCCACAGAAAACACACTCAGGCTCCATTCAGCTCCTCTTCCACTCTTAAAACTTGAAGGACTCAGCCACTTTTGGTCTTAGGAGATAAAATTTCTTTTATTACGAACATAAAAATTACAATTTTCATTCTACTTTTTTCCCCTCCCCAGCGAGGGATTTTCTCATTGCGAAAAAAGCTCAATCCAAGTAAAAAAAGATAGAACCTTTAATATATACATAAATACACAATGTCTCTGTACACCTGTCATTCTGTACAACCAAGGCACCAGCAGAAGTGACAATGGCACACGCAGAGGATTTTTGAGAAATCTAATTTCAGACTGTCTGTCAGAAACACCTCCATTCTCACTGAAATAATTATTGCCTTTTCTCTTCCTCCTCCCTGGGTGATGGGGGAAGAGGGAGGCCTGGGAGGATTCTCTAACTGCATAGAGGTGAACATGAACACCTTGGGATCCTTGGGAGACTGGACCAAACCACAGGAGTCTTTTGTCAAAAAAAATTCCAGTATTTTCCCTAAGAAAATGTTGAAGGAAAATTAAAGCAAAGCCCTCCAGAACCAGCTCATAATTACAACACTCCCCTCATCGGCCATTTTCAGTGCTGAAATAAAGTCTTCTGCTCTGGGGAAATAAAAGGGTGAAAAAAGAGGAACTTCTGTTGATAAAAGCACATATTTGAGAATGGATAAAATGAAAGAAATGTGATCACTAGCACAGCCTTGCAGCCTGCAATCAATGCAGCTTTATTCCATATTCCAAGTTCCAAAACAACTGGTGAAGGTATGAACTCTCCAAGGGCTTGTGCTGAGTTGAAAGCAACAACAGAACTGAAAAGCAGCCCGAAGCAGCTGTGAAACGTTGCCAGTCCTTCTGCTGGAAAGTGATCTCAAAAAAGGGCAGGGTAAACACCACACTTAAGAGCTTTTAAGTCCCAAGTGCAGCTGCAGTCAGCAAAGTGAGAATAAAATGCCAACTTAGCTCTGTATTTACACTTCACTCCTTGCTGACACATCAGACACCTTGAGTTTATAAAAGAAAAGTCTGTTTGTTTTTACCTGCCAAGAATGCAAAGAAAGAAACCTCCCTGGGTTTCTTCTGTCTCTGTTAATACACATTCCTCAGAATTAAAGCCTGGCAGGGTTGATGGCAAAGTTTCCTTTCCTGCCTGCCAGGCAGCCACGCACCAGTGATGCCTTTGTGTTCTGCAGAGCCTGCAGGGCAGCAGGAAAAACCTGCTGTGCCCCAGCTCCAACCCTGCTGTCCCCCAGCTCTTCAGAGAGTCAATCCTGCCCACAGTGGAAAGAAAGCACAGTCCCACCAGACAATCCCACCTGTGATCCCTTCAGTGCCTTTAGGACAACTGAGCATCGGCCATTCCAAGGCAGCAGGGGAGCAAAGGGGAAGAGGGAGCACTGGAAACCAGGATGAGAGTGGAGTTCACTCTGCAGAGACCGTTCCTGGGCCACTCAGCTGGATTGCCTCTCCTGAACCCTCCTTCTCTGAGCAGCCAGAGGAACTCCAGCCCCACCTCACTTCTTCCTGCGGATTTTGGGCTTTTTCACTGGCCGGAGGTAGGGATTGTCTATCACGTTCTCCTCCCCATTCCTGCTGCCTGCCAGGGAGGTGTTCTGCTGTAACACTGAGGCGTTTTCCTTCTCAGGTCCTGAATCATCCTGTACAAAAAAAACCACAAACCCAAACAACCAAAGTTACACAAAACAAGGCTTAGAAATCTTTCTGCCCAGAGAAGCTGTGGCTGCCCCATCCCTGGAAGTGTCCAAGGCCAGGCTGGACGGGGCTTGGAGCAACTTGGGATAGTGGAAGGTGTCCCTGCCCGTGGCAGGGGGGTGGAACCAGGTGATGTTTGAGGTCCCTTTCAACACAAACCATTCTGTAATTCTAAGTTCAAACCACAGCAGCACACAAGGAGCTGCATTAAGGGTGAGGCTTTCTGATTTCTAGCACGAGAAGATCCCTTGGGGAAGAACCAGGTTTGAAAAGCTCAGGGCAGTGGGGCCCAAGAGCTGTCTCAGGGGGGCTGTACCGTGCTCATGTGCAGCGGGAGGTTCTCGGTGTCTGTCTGGTCGTCCTGCTCCGACGAATCCGTCTCTTCCATCTGCTGCATTTCCAGCTCAGAGGGGAGAAGAGCTGTCAGGTAGGGGACAGTGAAAGGCCTGGCAGCAATCACTGGAGTCAGGGAAAAGGACACAGTCAGCGAGCTGGGAGGAAACCCCTCCCCTCAAAAATTAAGAAGCACAAAGAGAACGAACACTTTTGCTGGTTCTGGCTTTGAACACACACCACCTCTTCCTGCTGCTCCCAGGGATCAGGAATGAAATATGCTGTCCCTACAAGATGGCAGTCGCTAATTTTCTACTTTCTGAGGCCCCTTTATGTTTCAAACATTATTCCAACACAAAAAATCCTTCCTGATCTCCACAAAAGTTCCATTATCTCACAGGCTAAAGCATCACTTGGTCCCTCTTTAAGTTAACACTGACACCTGTGCTGTCAGTGAGCCTGGGGAAGGTGGGAATTCCCATCACTGCTTTGCAGTCAGAGAAACAGGAAAGCCCCCACTACCACTAAAATGTCAGAGACAAGAAATTACTTGTTCAAAGGTTACAGGGAGTGGAGTCAGGACTGGGATGAGCTTTGAATTTATAGCCCCTCTCAGCCTTCTCCACGAGCAGAAGACAGTGAGCCATAGTAGAAGGGTAGAAAAGCCTTATTTTGGTTTTCATTCCCCTTTTAAATACAAAACTCCTCATTTCCTTCAGGGAATAACACAATGTGATCATTCAGAGCTCACCCCCTGCAGCAGCAAGAACCCCATGAGGGGGGATGCTCAGGGACACACATTTAGGGCACAGAGAGTCCCAGAAAACTCACGTGGGAATGTGCTGACATCATCCTTGAAGAGGCTCTGGGTCTCCCCTGTCTTGGCCATGAAGCGTGTGAGGGCCCTTTCCACATCCCGCCGTTGGGAAGCCGCCTTTTCCCTCAGGACCTGGTAGTCGGACACGGGCTCCCGGTACGTCTGTGGAGCAGGGTGGGAAGGAAGGGAACAGCCCACGTTCAAAACACTGCGAGGCTGCAGGAGCTACAGGCAGGCTCTGACCTCTGCTCCTGACAGGCTTTTGGAGAGCTACACATGTCCATCAGCCAGGAATCCAGGGATCCTGGCTGATTTCTGCACAGCAAGGGATGTCCACAACCCAAGGAACGTATACACCAGGAGAAGTAATGCTTTGGATGGACAGTACCAGCACTGCAGTAAGAACACACCACTCCTGCTGTTCTGGACTCCAGACAGCCCCCAAACAGCATAAAAATCCTGTTTTCACTCACCGGCGTCTTGATGTAAGTGTGGGGATCTGGGAACTCAGGGAAGTGGCCAGGAATGTGGGATGGGTGAGGCTTGTTCTGTCCAGCTGTCAGGGCTTTGGGGGTCACGGGCTGGTTTGTCACAGGAGCTACAGGAGTTAAAAAGCACAGAAATCAGGGGGGTTCCTCCTGCCCAGGCACAAAGTGCTGCTGCTGAGCTGGGACCCACATTCCCAGGCCCTGCCCAAGCACATTCCCAGGAAGCTGTTTGGCATCCCAGAGGGGAACAGGGATCACTTGGCCCCTCCCTCCCATACAAGGAGAACAAAACCATCCTGAGGACTCTGGTGTGCAGTGAGGACACCGGTGAGAAGTGACT